GACGGCGGTATACGGTGGTTAGACGGCGGCGGGCAAGGGTGGACATGTCAAATCCGGGCTGCCCGAGCCCGAACCCGAATTTCTTGCTTGGACGGGCGGGAATTGGGCCGGCCCGCCCGAGCCCACCTGAATGAGTTAGCTGAGAAAGCTCATACTTGGACTGGACCGAGTGCTACTGAGAGCACCAGTAGGTCCCGACCAGTTGGAGTTTATCAATTAAGAGAAGAGGACAGCCTCAAGGCCCAAGTTGAAACTTTGACAAAGCAAATTGAGGCCCTCAAAAGTAAAGATAGTAAAGGACCCTACATGAATTCGGCTAAGCGTTACTAGACCTAGGATCGAGTGTGAACCTCATGCCTTATTCGGTCTACTCATGAAATGAGAGGGGTATACGAGGAGCAGTGCAACGCTCTTCGACCTGTTGGGAAAGTGCCGGAAAATTAAAGTGAGATCCTGGAGCACTTGACACAATTGAAGATCAATCTTCCCTTACTACACGTGATCAAGTAAGTGCCGGCCTATGCCGAGGTTATCAAGGATCTGTGCACCATAAAGAGAAAGCACCACGTCAAGAAGACTGCATTCTTGACGGAACAAGTGAGCGCGGTGATTGAGCAGAAAACACCGCCGAAGTATAAGGATCCAGGTTGTCCTACCATTTCTTGCCAGATCGGGATACATGAATTCGGCTAAGCGTTACTAGACCTAGGATCGAGTGTGAACCTCATGCCTTATTCGGTCTACTCGCAATTGGGTCTTGGAGAGATTAAGCCCACATCTGTGGTTCTCCAACTGGCCGATAGATCCATTAAGAGACCACGGGGAATAGTGGAAGATGTTTTGTTGCAAGTCGACAAGTTTTATTACCCCGTGGTTTTTCTTGTCTTGGATACACAATCCGTGGTGGATATGGAGTCATCCATTCCCATCATTCTAGGAAGACCTTTTCTTGCCACGGTAAACGCACTTATCAATTGCAGGAATGGTCTCATGAAGATATCTTTCGGGAATATGACCCTTGAGGTGAATATTTTTCATATTCAAAAGCAACCACATGATGACGACGAGTGTCACCAAACATTTATGATCGACACACTTGTCGAGGAGGAGGTTCTACCGCAAAGCAACTCTGAAGATCTTGAAAACCTCCTCCAAAATTCTGAATCTGAGAGTTCCGATCCTTGTGAGGTGGCTACCATTGCTGCCATTTTCAAAGAATCACAGGACAGAGGAACTAAGTTTGGGTCACCATGTTTTCAGGAGCTCCCAACAGAGGGAGAAAAACCGAAATCATCCACTGAGGAGGCTCCAACAGTCAAGCTAGCCCAACCACCTGAGGGCTTAAAACATGCATTGTTGGGAGATGAAGACACATTCCCAGTCATCATCTCATCTAAACTCGATCCATTGCAAGAACAATGATTGATCGACATGCTGAAAGAGCGCAATTCTAGGATCAAGGTAAAAATGAAAGCGGCTCATGATAAGCAGATCCTAAGGAAGAATTTCGAGCCGAATCAACGAGTTCAGCTCTATGATTCCCGTTTGCATCTCCACCCCGGTAAGTTGAGGTTGCGGTGGACTGGCATGTTCGTAGTAAAATGCATTTTTCCCAATAGTGCTGTCGAGGTTGAGGACCCGACCGATGAGAGAATATTCAAAGTAAATGGCCAGCATCTGAAAAATTACTTAGAGCGGGTGAACCAGGTTGAAGAGATCATTCTCGACGACCCCGTTTACCAGCCCTGAGTAGTTTGCTCACATCTCATGTATCATATTTTAATTTTCTATTTTCTTCGTTTCTTTTTACATTTCTTTTGTTATATGTGTGTTGGAGAATCATATCAGGAAGCTCAAGTTGTGCTCATATGTGGAATGCTCATCATCCAGGTGTCTTCTTTCTCTATATTTACATAATTTTTGACACTGAGGACACTGTCTGATTTTGGTTGGGGGTGGTGGGCATATTCATGCGTAAGAGTGATTTTTGTCATGTTGATATTTGGGTTAAAATTTTTGCAAAGTTGTCTGAGTATGATTCAAAATGATTGGTTTGGGTCAATTTTTACTGTCTTGGTTGCTAAGAAATGACTTCCAGAGTTTCTTTTTACACGTGCTAAACCTTGTGGTAAGATAGATGTTAATGCATGTCAGCTGAGAAAATTCCCGAGTTTAAGGGCTTGATTTTTAGTGAGTCAAGAGAGTAGAGAAAATGACTTTTGAACTTTCATTGATCTTTTGAGCTGGTAAAATCACTATTAGAACATCATTACATGGGTAGTGGTATGCTTGGTGCATATGCTTGAGGGATGGATTTTGGGTTAGATAGGAATGATCTTATGTAATAGAGCCTCATTTATTATTTTTCAAACTTTTACTTGGTGAATTTTTCAAAGCTGCATGTGTTATGGTCAGTGGTAAGAAGGTTATGGCTTTGGGCACACACACACGACTCTGGAGTTATGACTGAAATAATCTTAATAGTATCTTTTGACTTCTCATTGACAATTTGTTTGAAATACTCAGGTGACTAAGCGAGTTGAGACTTAGATTTTCTTTGTGACATGATTTCTTTTGCGCTTGGATTGCTAGAGACTAGCAATAAGCTGGTTGGGGGTTGTGATTAGTGCATGAAAATGCACCATAAATACTGCTTTTGATTTATGTAATATTAAAATATTTAAGCTTTAATTAAACAATTCCACTATTTTTATTCATAATATTTTTAATTGGAATTTGTCTAGTTTTTGCTTAATTATTTACAGTGTAAAAAGCTACACAAAAATAAGCCATGAAAGCCATGTTTTCAACCATCCGGAGCCAAGCCTCAGTCGAGCTGCACCAAGCCGAGCCAAGCCACTATCTCTCTCCGCGTGGGCCCCAGCTCTCCGCCTTTCCCCACTATTTCTCCCGCGCGTCACCAGCATGCCAATCTCTCAGCGCGCGCATGTCTTCCATGTAGCCATCAGCGCGCGTTAAAGCGTTCCTCCGCGTGGGCCCCGCGACTCAGTGTGCCAGCCTGCTCCTTTCCTCCGCGCGCGACATCTGTCCCATGAGCTGTCTCCACTCTGACCGCGCCAGCAGACTTCCTCCACTCCGCGCGTGACACGTGGTGCTTTATTCCTTTGATCCAATCAAGCTTTGACACGTGTCCCTCCGGCGCTGAATCCGAATTCCTTCCCCAAAAATCAGAGCAAATTACCAGATTTCTTCCCCAAATCAAATATGTGATTTCTCCTAATTTATGTGTAATTTTATTTTGTTTCATTTTCTTTTGTAATTTTCTAGTTTTACAATTTATTTCCTTATTTGACAGGCAACCTCTGAACACTATAAATAGAGGGGTTGGCCTAAGGTTTTAGGAAGATTTTGATATTAAACTTTCTGTCGTCTTGCTGTCAGTCTCATATTTTCTCTCTAGAACTTGTGAGAATGTTTTGCAAGATAGGCTAGAGTTTTCTTGGTGAGGTTAGAGATGAACTTCTGTTGAGTGACCCAATTCGGGGTTTTGATTCCTTGTGCTGTAAAGGTCAACATCCGAATAAATTAAATCTCATCTATTTTTCTATTACTTTTCAAAATATTGTGTGCCAATTTTTATATAATTTCAGTCACGCTTTTCTTATGTAATTCTGTCATGCAATGTTTTGTTATTCAAATTATTTTACAAATTGTCTTTTACTGCAATATTGTCAGATTGATATATTGTCGATTTTAGATAGCTTGTAATAATAATATTTCTGGAGTCAACATACAGATTTAATTTATTCGGTTATTTAATATTGTGAATCAAAACTTGGATTGGTGAACGAAACATTAGGGATTCTCGACACCTTACCGTTTTTATTATCAAATTTTCTTCATACAAATTCTCTCCTTTCTATTTTATTTGCAACAAAATCTCAAAAACTATTCTTTTTCTTTAATTCACTTTTCTCTAACGCTCTTATTTTGTTAGTCTTTCTTGTTATTTTGTTATCTCTCTGTGGATACGACCGCCATTCTATGCTACAATTGACCGCTTGTGAGTATCACTTTTGGGCATTAATTAATGACCCCAAGGGGCAAAAGTTAACACCGACTCTTCCAAAGAAGAAAGGCGAAGAAAAACTTAGAAAATTTTATGAAATTTTCTAAAGATGAACGACTCCAAGGGGTAAAGTCAACAACGACTCCTTTAAGAGGGAGAGGCGAATGCATAATGAACAAATGAGCAAGGTATGAAATCTACTAGCTTTTCATAAAACATAAATGAAAATAAAAAGAGGTTCAAACCAATGTCATATTAGTTACAGACAGCAAAAAAAAAAAATTATTTCTCTTCAAGCCTCACCGCCAACCGCCGAGTCATCACCAGGCGGGGAAGAGTTGTCGTCGCCAGCAGGAGGAGGAGCATCATAAAGGAAGCCCAAGTCCCACTCAGGATGCTCTTGTTTTATCAAATCGACGATTTGTTGACCAGCGGATTGAAAATCCTTCGTACGAATGTCGATGAGCTCCGGAGAAGCCTTGAACTCCTTAATAATCTCTACACGTTTGGCATCAAAAACTGCTGCGGCCTTAGCTTCGGCTTCTTTCTTCCCCTCAGCAAAACGTCTCTTTGCCGCCTCAGTTGCTTCTGCCAACTTCGTCTCAGATGTATCTACCTGCTTTGTAAAGTCCTCAACTGAGGCAGTCAGCTTAGCCAGCTTATCTTCCAAACTCTTCAATTTGGCCACGGCCACATCTCTCTCCTCGGCGGCGTTCGCACACTTAGTCTTAGCATCGTCGAGAAGAGAGTTAAGCTCGGCCTTTACGATGTCCATCTCTTTATCCCGCTCCTCAACCTTAACTAGGTTGAGAAGGTTGAGAATGGCAAGGATTAAGCCCTGAAAAATTGGAGGTCAGAAAATAAGGATACAAGGCGGCGAAACCAGAAAAAATAAAAAGGCAGCTCGATCAGTGAATTTGGAAAGAGATCTGCTTTCACTGGCGATCAACCAAAGAAGATTGAGTGGTAGCAACCCAGTGCGGCTCGAGGAAAGACTCATATAGAGCCTGGAAGACAAGGGAGAAGTGGGGGGAAAGTTTCAGCATCGCCCCAATCTCGGCATCAGAGACGTCCGGGACTTGGAAATTAGGATCCCTACTTTTTGCTCCCGGGATAAGCACGCGTTCCCTCGGCGCCAGAAGAACGTTTACGTCAGGAATGGGGACTGTCGGCGTCCAAGTTTCTACCACCGGCGTCTTCTCTTTGAGCATCTTTTTTAGCGCAGGATCCTCCTCCGACGTGGAGGGGACCCTTGTGGCTTTCCTTTTCCTCGGCGCCTGAGAAGAAGAGCTAGCTTTCTCCTTTCCCCTAGAAGGAGGTTGTTGGCTCGGCGGGGGCTGCTGGCTTAGCTTAGACGGCTAACTGCCGAGAAGCTGGATCCTCAAAGATGCCATTTCTACAGAAACGACGAGACAAAAATATAATCGACGCTTGGATAAACAAAATGTCATTGTAAGAAAGGCAGTGGGAATAGGGGTTTACCTTCGTCGCTTAAATGGAAGTATTCACGGACGACGTCGAGGTCAGTAGGGTCTGGGAGATCGAGAATTAGCCCGGCACTTCAAAGATTTACCTGGGTCAGGAGGGTGTCAATATGGCCAACTTCGGACGGGAACAATAAGGCCTTCTCAATCCTCGTGTAACTGTTTCCAGAGAACTTCGGCCGGTCCTAACTGACTGTAGGATAAAAGACTGTCAGCGTAAGAAAGGAGAAAGCGAAGTAAGGTGAAGAAAGGGAATCAATGTCTAACCCATGTTCCCAAACGAAGCCTGCACCTTCCTTCGGCGGGGCAAGCGGTCGTCAGGATGAAAATTAAAAGGTCTGCGTATCATAAAAAACATGGGTTTCCACCCATGTGACGACGAGGGGATGCCCAGAATTAGCTTGCCAAATCTGGGCTGAGATTTCCTGTGCCCACTCAGAAAATACCACCCCTCGCACTTGGCAACATGGCACAGTCTGTACATGAATCTAAACTCATCCAGAGGAAGATCCATGTCAAACTGTTGGTTCCACAAGATCCAGGCGCCAGCAAAGCAATACCAGAAGTTTGGCGCCAGTTGGGCGGGGGAAATGCCGTAAAAGTGGCAATAATCTTTTATGAAGGGATGAACCAGAAGGGTCATCCCAGCAGTAACGGCCCTGGTATAGATAGGGAGGAATCCAATTGGGGGCATACTAGTCCTAAAATGCATGTCTGGGAGGAGGTATTTGAACCACCTCCCGTCGATGCATCCTTCCTTCATCGCCCGGATGATGTCCTTATTCCGGACTCTCGACGCCACGGTGTCAGCTGTGAAGGAAGGCCGATCCGGGTCTCCACTTGTAGCAGCCAGCGGGGTATCCACCAGAGAAGCGGCGACCCCACACATGCTGCCACTTGTAAAAGGC